TAGATTATTTGTAGTGCAAGAATTTCCAAAGTCATGCTACATTTCCTTTTCCCTTTCAATTTTAATATCTCGTTTTGTTTAGTTCTTTGGATTTAATCCATGGGAATTCATTCTTGTGGTTGTTGGTCCTAATCCAGTAGTACCTGATCCGGAAATAGCATATGAAACCTTTTTAAAATGTATTTGGCAAGAAAGTTTTTATCTGCCCTTAGACTGATGCTTATGGTGAATGAATGCTGCTTCCAAGTATACCCCTCTTCTTTTTGGGAAGATTACTTCCAGCTAAATATGAAAGTATAGTTTATTGCTATGGAAAAGAGGGAGGGGTTAGGGTTTCTATGGTGAAATTGAGGGCAGAATCTTATGTTCTGTTCTGTGTATGAAATAACCTTTTATATGGAAGATCAATTGAGTGGTTGCTTAGGTGTTGTGAACAGTACATCTAGGACTATGTGTTTTTGGTTTTCGGTGTTTTAGGGAAAACAATAACAATGAAATAATGGGGATTTTATTGGGTGATGATTTTTTAATGTTTTCCATGGAAATCAGGACTGGATAGGATAGCAAGCTAAAGAAACAAAATAGTAGTTGAGGGCAAGAGAATAAGTATAAGCATAAGCTACCAAGTAGATTGCAGCTTGCTAATTTTTTTTTTTTTAAACACTGAGAATTAAGCTCCCAAGAAAACATTATAACTCTTTGAACAGACCTACCTTATAAGTAAAATCTATTAGTACAAGCCCATTTACAGCCAAGGTCTATAGAGGAACCAGCCGGCTTCCTATTAGCTTTTATGCCTTCTGCAAAACCTCAATCAGAAGAACCCTGCGTTCCAATGGGTTTTTAGATGGTCCATTTACATTCATGAAGGGTTTAATTTATGAAAAAAGGGAAGTGAAATGCTTAGAATAATATATGTGGCAAAAAATGAACTTTTTAGGCACGAATCAAATCATTCTTCTCCGAAGTTTCAACAATATGATAGCCAAATCATTTTGATGTATCCTGATAAGTTAACTCCATGTTTTGTAAATCCGGGTGTGATGAATTTTATATGGAGCTATCAGTGTCATTAACCAAAAAATGTTTTTATTAGCATGTTCAATAACAGAACAGCTTGAAAACTTAATTACACTGGCTTTTATCTACCAATACTTAATAGACTGGTGGGCGATGAGGAATGTCAGTATGTCAATGTCGTAGATTTGAGACTCTTGCAGGGTTACATGTTTACTAGTGGCATACACTCACAGTTACCCTGTGCTTCACTTATAGCTTACAAAATTGGCACAACCTTTTCACCTGACCAGTAGTTCAATAATCTTATTTAGCAAGTTATTTAGTTATTTTATGGGTAAAAGGGCTTTTTTAAAATGAAAATATTTGTTTGGTGGTCGGCAGTCTGCAGATGCATTGTTTTCTTTAGTAGCAAGCAAGAAAAAGCTTTCAATACAATAATTATTTGAGAGATGAGGGAGTTGAGAACACATCTCTTGTTGGAGAAGCCTTAAATTCTGTGAAGTTATTGGTGAGTTTGGGTAAAGGATTCTTTGTGAATTTATTATGACACACCTTCCCAAGCAATATGACAGCTAAAGGTTGAAACTTGGAAGAAGATGAAGCATTTTGGACCATATTATAGCTGTCTGATTCATGGCAGACGAGAAAGCTGGAAATTGTTTTCCTTGTAGATGTGATCTTGAATGCTTGTTAAGCTATTTGGTGTGCTCTTTTTGTTATGATGGTACTTTTCTCTTCAGCCATTTGATTCATATTTCAGATTTTTTTTTAAAAAAAATTCTTTCTGAGGAAAATGCTTTTCAAGGCATTTCTTCATCTTCTTCCCTTGGGAATGTAATAAAGGAAAAGCCATGCCAGATACAAGAGATGACAACAATTGAACAGAATGCAGTTATGTTATTTAAAGATATATCATCCTGTAACTCACGATACCATCTCGATCTATCTAACAATTGAACAAAATCTTCACTTTATGAAGCTTTACAGATCCCACTAGATCATGATCTCTCTCTCTCTCTCTCTCTCACTCACTCACTCACACGCACGCGCACAATGCGAAGAGTAAATAACTTTTATTAGATGTGGAAGCAAATGGCGATAGATGATAGAGATGGATAAGTTTGAGTGGAGTAAAATCAATCGCCCTCTTATAATTTGAAAGGGAGCTTATTTAAATAAGGAAATGAGATTTGAAGGCTTAAATGTGATAACCACTCCCATTTCCTTGTCATTTGGATTGCTTAAATTAAAATTTGAATGATCCGAATTCTATGTCATTGTATTCTTAGTATTTATAATTTTTTAGTAAGTGCCAAATGTGAAATAAATATAATAGCTTCATTTTTTCAAACAAAACATGTTTTAATTGTCAAATTTTTTAAATATAAAATTTTAACTTGAGAAATTAAAAGTGAGCATTTAATATACTTGAATTGTAATTAAATTTGAACAGTTTAGATTTCATGAATCCAAACTCTTGTTTTAATTCTTACCATATTAGTTTAGTTGAAAACAATTTAAACTATAATTTACAAGATTGTAGGATTAAATAGAGTTGTCCATGTGAAAATTTTATTGTTGGACAATTTATAAGCATTTATGTAACTGCCATGAGTATGGAGGGATGCCTTAGCACTGAACCTAACTCAAACAAAAGCTGTACCCAAAAGAATGTTCTTACCTTATCACAATGCAAGTTGCTTTTATCATGTCTTCTTTTTTATCCGGTGGCATTAATCTGCTAATCTTCCGTTTCCTAGTTGGTGGATCCAATACAATTCATAAGGTTGGAGAAATGATGTACTCTCTCCATTCCAAATTAGAGAATATTTTTAAAAGAGTTTCTTCATTTCAAAATATAAAACACTTTTGGTACATTAAAATTTTATTAAATGTGTTAATTTTAATATTATCATTTCTCTCTTTGTAATTAATTTTCTTTCATTTTCTTTTGAATATATTAAATGATGAATATTTTAAAAAGTTTATATTTTTATTTTAAAAAGATAAGGTTGTTAGGTATATTCAACAAGATTTATTAATATGTGAAATTTTATTTAAAAATATCTTATAATTTAAAATAAAAAAATATTATTTTGGTTTAATAATGGCATGGCTGTGAGATTCGTGATGTTACATACTCCATTTTTATGTACGAGTGCCTCTAATTATCTCACCAAAAAGGTGTAGTTAAATAAGTGATGTTTAATCCCCCCCCCCATATTGCCTTCAATTTTATATGCAAATCACTTCTAATTATCTCACTTAAAAAAGTGTAGTTAAATAATTAACATTGTCTAATTTCTTTGCTTAATTTATTTTTATTAAATACATGGTCTTTAGAAACACTTTCTCTCTCTTATGTAACATGTTAGTTTGCTCATAAAAAATATGAAAGTAAAATCAGAAGATAGTAACTAATGGTCTCTCTTTTTCTGCAAAATAACTTATAAAAAGATAATTAAGACGGTGATTTATATATAAAACCGAATCCATTAACCTGGCATAAAACGTTCTCAAATGAATTATAGTAGGGCATTCCATGTCTAAAATTAGTAACATACTTTTAGGTTTTACTCAACGAGTGCAACTTCTGCTTCATTCTCCACTGGCTAATGCCAACAGTTGCGGAATTCGGGACCCCACTTGACATGTGACGTGTCCTCATAGTAATAACTGTTGTACATTTCTTGAATGAAAAACTCCAACGCTTTTTCAAAAATTAAAACAAAAAAAAACCCAGAAGCGCTACAAAAGTCTATATGCCATTGCAGCCAAATTGAAAGCAATTAGTTGTTCACCAGGCATTTTCAGTTCAATAAGTTGATAATGTTTAGACTTGAGAGTTCTGGAAAATTCATTTATTAGTACTCTAGAGTTGATGGCTAGACAACAAATGAACCTTTAATTGCAACAATAAACAAGAATGTTCATATCTGAAACTGACTATGATTTGCCCGGAAAGAAACCAGACATCTATCTGCTGAGACACTGAGAATTTCAGCATAGATGAAAAGTGCGTAACAAACCTTGGCCAAAACAGTCTGAGCCCTCCAACATAACATGCCTGCGAGAGAACTGCATATTATTGAATGATTTGATAACTTTTAATTTAGTTGAAACAGTGAAATTGATAGAATAAGGCTATTCAAATGACAATCTTTGTTAAACAAAATTCATAGTTACAAAGAACATCGTGACCAGAAGTCTGGAACATATCACACATGCATGTTATGCGTTGTAGCTGAGGAGTACACATAAAATAACATTCACTTGCCTTAATATCAAGCTCTGGCTCTTAAATTTAGCGTATAATTCTGATGAGTTTGCCAAATTGCTTGTTTCAACATGTCAGTAGGTGAATTGCATCACTCATAATTCCACTAATGTATTTCTGGAAGACAGTTTTAGAATTGTCACTATGCCAAGAAACTCTGAAATTCATCCACAGCATAAAGTTATTGTGCAGTGTATATGTACAAGACAAGTAAATAACGCAAAAGCCAACTCATCAAGATATTTAAACCTGATGATGAAAAATTTCCAAATTAACCTTAGCTAACATGGTTTAGTTGCATCAAAGAATCACATTCTAGTGTTGTTACTCACATCCTAAGGCTGCTGAGCCTCCTCTGATTGATTATAAAAACATCAAAACCAAAGAAAGTCCAATAAAAAATTTCAAATTTTAATCCATTAAAAATATAAAGCAATGCATAAAATAGTTTTATGTAGGGGTTAAATTTATCATCCTGTTACCTGTAAGCAATGCCATTGCATGATTACTTTACAAGTAAATGCAAAAACACATTGTCAATTCTTAATTAATCGTAGTAATCATGGGTTACCATTTTAGATGTCAAGCACAAAAAAGACTTTAATTCAGCTATAATGAAAAGCAGAGGTTGATAAGCAACAGCAACTGACAGCCCTCAACGCAGCAATGAATCAAATTAGCAAAGCACTGTACAGGAACAAGGGACAGAGTAATGTTCAGAGTCTTTTATTGAATAGGAACTGAAACTATCATTGAAACAATGAGGTACAAAAATACCAGGAAAGAAAAAACCAACAACCTTTCGTCATCTCCCACCTCCCTAATTTGAGGTGGAAGTTGATCAAAGAAGCAAAAAAAAAAAAAAAAAGGGGCCAGTTTTGCTGACCTATCAGCCTCCAAAATGAATTCCCTGTACATAAATTTCAATGTTACAGTCTAATTTTTATCAATGGTTTTCCTAGCTTCCTCTGTAAAATCTCTGACAAGGATGATCACCATATACTCTCTAGTTAACAAGTTCAACGCCCAAGCACTGTCAGTACTCAGTAGTGATTTCAGCTATGCATATTCCCTTATTCCAGCAAATATCCGGACCTTTACTAATTCCTTTAACATCAGTTACAGTTGGTGGGCACACCCCAAATGATAATCACCCACTCATCGATAATGCTTTTGATAATCACACCACAAGCATTTTCACCTCTTGAGTTGACTGAAGCACCAATCGGCAAACTTAAGATGTCTGTACTGGTTGGAGCTCTATCCTCTTGTTTAGCACCCCTGCTCCGGCAGCCTGTTCACAGTCTTTAAACTCAATATTAACTGTTGGAGTACAGGGAAGGGCATGAAATCAAAATATTTTTTTTACATGAATTGATCACAGCTTCTTCCATGACAAAAAGGCTGTTTAATAATTTAGGACGTGAATTGATCAAACCATTAGGGAAATTCACCATTAAAATAAGTATGAACTCAAAACTGAAGTATCTGACCTTGTTTAATTATGTAGGACGACCTCTGTCTCTGACAATCATATGCAGAAGGACTTTTCTTAGCCTTGTCATCCTCCATTTTTTTTTCTGGAGAGTTTGGACAATTGAGACAAGAGTTATGGTATCCAAGGGGCAGCCATTCGCTTTTATTTTTTAAACCAAGACCATCTCTTCCTCAAACAAGCCTTCCACAAAGCCCATCAATCATAATAATATATGTCAAGGCCATTGCTTTTGTACGGCATGCATGTCTTGGACGAACTGTGCAAACACAAAGATAAACAAATAGCCAAGTTTTATGTATAAGCTCAAAGGTTATTTTCATTGAATTTGGGAATTGCCGAAGATAGAAACTAACCAGTATTTTAACAAAATAAATAATAGGTCCATGGGCCGACAAGATGATTTTCTTCTAAATGTTTTATTACTACATTGAAGATAAGTATAGAGACCATCATTAGAGATTCAAGGACTCGACACATATTCATGATATTTAAGCTCCCATTCTCGTCAAAATAGAAGGTGTCCACTAGAACTTTGAAGAAGACCCAAAAAAAAAAAAATAATTCGGATTGCCAAAACAAACAAATCTTGCAAACAATTTATGAAAATTCAACAATAATTCTACCATAACAAACACTTAAAATTTTACTTGTGCTCGTGCTCCCAGTTAAGTTCTTCAGACATTGTTTTGCTTGGTTGTCAAACAACCTAATGAACTTTTTAGAAGCTTCATTATATTTTGCAAGGGCTTATCAATTTTAGATTCTGAAATCAAAGAAAACTTTATTATAGCTACTTTGTTAATAAATGAGATGTCATGAACAACAACTGAGACAAACAAAACTAGAAACAGAAAATAAAGAAGGAAGGAAGTCACGTTAAAACAATTAAAAAAAAAATCACTGTTAATATACACAATCAAAATGAAAATAAATATATAAAGTATTTAACTCGAGCAAAACTCCAACATCATTAACACCATTGAATAATCCTACAATTTTAAACAGAAAGAAAAGCATTTCAAAACTATTAAAGGCAAATTTTAACACTTGAAAAAACACTACACAAATAAGGACTAGAATAGCTGACCTTGTTTCATCGTTCTTGCAACCCACTGTTGACCATTTCGTGAATCAGCTTCTCTGCCATATCATTCTCACTAAATTTCAAAAGAGCTTGAATAAGTCTGTCATATGTTCTTGAATCAGGGAGGCAGCCATTCTCTTTCATTTTTGGAAGCATAGCCATAGCTTCATCAAGTAAGCCTTCCATACAAAGGCCATTGATCATTATGTTATAAGCACAGACATCAAAAAGATGGCCTTTGATTAAAAGGTACTTAAAAATCTTTCGTGCATCATTTAGTCTACCAGCTTTACACAAACCATCAATAAGTATATTGTATGTGCATACAACAGGCCAAATTCCTCGGTCCACAGCTTCCTTGATTAACACAATGCCCTTTTCAAGATTCTGACTTTTGCAAAACCCATCTAACATAATATTATAAGTGATTATGTCAGGAGTATGACCACTATTATGCATCTCAAGAAAAAGATCTTGCGCATGTGACATTCTCCCTAATTTGCACAAGCCATCAATAAGAGAATTATAAGTTACATCAACGGGAACCACGTTTTTGCAGTGCATTTCTTTAAAGAGATCAAAAGCTTCATCAACCATTTTAATCTTACATAATCCGTTAATCAAGATATTGTAACTAAATACATCAGCTGTCAACCCACTTTGGACCATCCTATTGAATACTTCCTTTGACTCATTAATATTATTCATCAAACAACACCCATCCATTAAAGCATTGAAAGTTACAACATCAGGTCTCTCATCACATTTCATCATCCTAGCAAACACAGCTTGGGCTTCTGTGATTCTTCTTTGTTTACAAAATGCATCAACCAATATATTATAGACATAGACATTTGGTTTGATGTCTTTCAATATCATTTCATGAAGCAACTGAGTAGCTTCCTGCCACTGCCCTATGCTAAAGAAACCGTGGATTAGAGAGCTGTAAGTGACAACATTTGGAAAAATTCCAAGATCATTCATTTCAAAACACAAATCACGTGCTTCAATTACACGTCCCTCTTTGCAAAGGCCATCAATGATTATATTGTAGATAACTACATCAGGTTTAATTCCCTGGTCCAGCATCTTTCGAAGCAACTTAGTGACAGACCTTGTTTTCCCCGTTTTACACAAACCATTTAATAAGATGGCATAACTAACCTCATCTAATTGAAATCCTTTCGATATTAGCTCATCATAGAAGTGTAGTGCTTTCTCAACCTTGTTATTAAAACAGAGTCCTTTCATTAGTGCAGTCAAAGTTATGGTATTCGGTTGAAGACCCATCTTCAGAATCTTCCCTAATATTGAGAAAGCAGAATACATCTGACCTACATGGCAGTAACTATTGATCAAGATGCTGAGTGTGAATAAACAAGGGGTGAATCCCATCGACTCTACTTGTGCAAACAATGAGATAGCAGTGCGATAATGTTTAGCCCTGGCAATTGATCCTAAAAGCTTATTAATTTGAATTATGGAGGGTGGGGGATGCATACGAAGCAAACGATGGAATGAAGCGACAGCATCGTCGATGTTATTTGCAATAGGGGTTTGGGTGTGAGCATGGAACTTGAGATTAAGGGAATAAGGTAAAGAGAAAAGGACGGAAGAGAGGAGAAAGTGGGGAAATTTGGGGAAGCCATACCTTGTAGATGCACATAACATGATAATATGGCCAATGGGATCTACAAACAAAGGCTTAGAAGAAGATCCTTCCACAAGCAGCAAGAATCTAAGCCCTCGTGAAACAGAGCAATTCCCACTGAAAATTTAACCCTACTTTTTGCGCCGAACTTCAAAATGGAACTAGCTTTCCCCCCTCTATTTTTTTCGTAATGCCTTTTCAAGGGGCTAATGGCAATCTAAAGAGATCTTTTCATTCTTCTTTTTGGTAACGAATGATTCTAAGCTAATATTATTTGAATAAAAATCGTAACAAATTGTAAGAAAAAACTATATAAATATCTTTTTTAAAATCTTTTGTACCTCCAACTCATTTTTAACTTCCTTTTATTAAATTTGCAGTGCAGATATTTCATCTTGCTTCCATTCAAACATAAACCCTTCAATTTTAAATTTCATCTTCATAACTCCATTTCGGAGTTAATATAGTATTTTGAGTCCCAATTTAAGATAATATCATTTACCCAAAAAAAAAATTCACTTGGGATTCTTATTCATGTACATGTTTAGTTCTTGCGTTAAAAACCACATGGGGCATGCAATAATTTAATCTTTGTATAGAAATCCTTTATCTCGTCTTCAAGCATTCTAACACTAATTGTCACTCCATCACGCACCTCAGTTCCTCCTGTATTAAAATTCACCTGTAATGTAATTAATTTATATGAATCAAGGAAAATTAGTTATATTATTAAGACTATTTAAAAATTACTTTAATTTTTATGTTTACTCCTAATAAATACTATAAATTTTAAAAATAAAATCTTTATCTTCCTATCTCCCTCATTGAAAATTGAGAAGAATGATATACCCTCTCTAGTGATAATCTTTATTATGAAATATTTTAAACCACCTTACCAAAACAATGAGAGTTAAGTTATTAACTTCACTTGAAAATAAAATAAAATTTTAATTTTATTTCTATTTAAATATTTTTTTAAATTTACATTATATTCTCGCTGATGGTCAATGAATCTAAATAGAAATAGTATTAAAAATATGTAATTAATACTTTATCAAGTATTTTACATTAAACACCAAATAAATCTTTTAAAAATTACCTTATAATAAAGATCAAAAAGAATATTTAAAATAAAACAACTAATGTTCCACAAACTTTTGTGAAGTAAGTTATACTCTCTCCAATTCTATTTATAAGAGATATTATAAAATATTTATTTACTTCCATTTATAAGTCACAATACAATTTTTTAAATAATATTTGTAATATATTTTTAAAATTATTCTTCATGAATAAAAAAAGTAACATAATATGATTTTTTGAACTTATTATATAAAGACATATTTGAAATTTTACATACGTTTATTCTTTGTACTTTTTGTATATTGGTATTGATGAGATTTATAAAAATAATTTATAAAAAAGAAACCAAAAGAGTATTTAAGACCATAAAATTCTTCTAGAGGCCGATTTATATGTTAAAAGGCAAGGAAGTGTTTTTTTTGTTTTTTTGGTTTTTACTAGTAAGGCAAGTTACAAGAAAAACTTCGAAAAAAGACTCCAACTAAAACAGAAAGCTAACAAGGGACTGGACGAGAGCCCCCTTCACAATCATTCCTACAAGCCTCAAAGCAACAAAATTCTAAGCTGGGAATCAGTCCCGTGGGCAGCTTTAGCAAGCTGATCAGCACAGAGTGCAGCATTCCTGGGCGAAAAACGCAATTCAGCTTTGGTGAAATCAAGTAAACTCGACGCAGCATTGTTAATCTCCTCTTGAAAAGGATGTTCAGTAGCAATGTCGCGCATAATTAGATTGACAGCTGAATTTTCTCAAGGCCAATCAATTTAACCACTTGGATCCTTCAGCAATTATCCAGTTCATGCATAAAGCCAGCAATTCAATTACCTTCCGAGTGATTGAAGGACCGATGCATCAACGTCAACAACTCGAATCCAATGTGGTTTGGGAGGTTTCCACTTAGTATCCATGTGTTGAATTTGACATAACCCTGCTTTGTTGACGTTATACCATGAAGTTACCAAGGTTTAACCTGTGAACCAACCTCCCAAGGCGAAACAGGTGCAAGGAAAGAGCAATAGACCAGGCCAACCTACAAAAATGAAACGGTCCCTCTGTAATCATTCATCCATAATATTAAATAAATCATTTTCATCTTTGATAAATTTATCAAGAGCTATAGTCATAGTGATCCTCCTACTCAACTACTTCAACCATTTCTGAGCACCTCATAGCATTTTCAGTGCCTCCAGGAGTCGCAGTGTACATGTATGGATGATACTTGTGGCGTTTCCGGTCCAAAATCACCAGCAAATATAGCAGAAGACTCAACCAGTTCTCTCTGTCAGTTCTTATGTTCCAGCAAATCCAATCCTCCAACCTGCAAGAGAACAAGTTAGCAGAAAAAGCAGGATTTATCAAAGCTGGAGGAAGTATCCTATATAACTCTAATACATATTACGAGCACAACTTTCTTTTCTCTTGTCAAAGAAATGAAAAAAAAAATTAGTAACAAAATAAATGAAATAGATTGTATTATAATACTTTCTCCCAATATTATTTTTGTGAAATAATTCAGACGGGAGGATTTAAAATAAATTCTTGTTTCTTTTGTTTTTATAGTACATAATATGATAAAATATTCACACGACAAAAGTTATTTACAGCCATTTTTTCAAATTCTTGCACACATGTTTGTTTTTACATTAAAAATTGTAGAAAAAAAATATAGGTACAAAAACATTAACCAGTGTGAAGTACTTAAATAGGAATCTTGACGAATTGTGAGAGCGTGCATATGCGCATGCATTGGCAACCCACAAGAGTGGTTCACTGGAAGTTCACTCATCAAACAAACTCCACAATCTTGAATTCCTCATTTTGAAACACATCCTCAATCTGTTGGATTTGCCAGTAGCAGCAAAAATCAGATTCTTCTGTGTTTGTTTGCTCTTGTAATACTGACATGGCAGCAATACTTTTAAACAATGATAAGAAACTTATAGTTCATTTATTAATAAAAATAAGCCATGCATACACTCTATACTTTGGTTTTCTAACTTCTAAGCACTACAGATAAAAGAACATTCACTTACCTCGCTACCAATATTAGTTCTTCAACTTAGCTTGGCACATGCTATTTGCTTCTCTTCATCCAAGTCATTTGTCACAACCGCAAACACTCCTCCATTTTTATCATTATATTTCCTTCTGCAATATGTCCAGATAAGCAGCATCATATCAGTAGCGAACACAAAAAAATAAAAATAAAAATAAAAATAAAAATAAATCCTTTACTAGAACAGATCAAAAGCTTCTCTAACAATAGAAAGTTTATTGTGGAGTGTAAATTTTTTAGCGTAAAAGAAACAATCATGTGCTAAGCATTTAAGTGAACTCTACATTTATATGGGCACAAAATTATAAAATGAAGTATTTCACCTTGTCTTGTAATCTAAGAAGACATTTAGAATCCCATGGCATATTCTTGTATTTAACAAATGAATATTCCTTTTGGCCAAAAAAAAGGGTGACTATTGCAAAATTTAACAGAAAAACTAGGAATAAAAGCAACCTAAAAGTCTTTGAACTTCTGCATATTGCATTGTATGGTGTGCCTGTAATAAGCAAACAGTGAATAGGAAAATCAGAAAGTACTACAGTTTTGCAAATCAACTCAAAAGTTAAGTCCATTCAAACTTGGGCAACACAAACATGTTTGACGTACAATATTTCCAATAGTTAGAAATGTAATGAATTTAAAAACAAAATAATAATAATAATAATAATAATAATAATAATAGTATCTCTCTAAATTATATAAATGATAATTTAATCTTTTAAAATGTTATAATATCAATGAAATTCTTACAAAATTCTTTGTCAATAATTTTTTTTAAAAAAATTATTTTACCCTTATTGACAAATTGTGATTTTTTATTTAATTCTTGTAATATTTTGAAGAAAAATTGTGATTTTTTAAACAAAACTTATGAATAAAATTTGTTATTTTAAAAAATTATTTTTTAATAATAAAAATTACACTTAACAAACTGTAATTTTTTGTTCAATTCTTATGATTCATAGAATAAAAATTATTATTGTAGATTTTTTTTAATAACATAAATTATACTTGATAAGTTATAATTTTTTGTTCAACTACTGTGATTTACAGAAAAAAAATTATTATTGAGTCTTGTTATTTTTAATAAGGATAAAATAATTTTTTAAAAAAAAGTTATTGACAAAGAGGTCTCTAAAAACTTCATTGATATTATAACATTTCAAAGGATTAAATTATCAATTACATAATTTGAAGGGTTTTTTTTTCAAAGAAGTATTATAGGTCCATTTGATCGCTCTCGCAAGTATACGAGATCATAGTAATAAATTATTCAGAGTATTTTAAGTGTCAAACCTACAAGAAAGTTACACTTTTACTAATTTAAATAATTTGATGAATGATATAAAGAATAAAAAATAAATTAAAAAAATAATGATCATGAAAACATAATCACTTGAAGCATTGGGAAGGATTCGGCAAATTGATGCTTATGCTATAAAAAAAAATTATTTACTCAAATACTGCACTTTTAAAAATATTTCTCTACATACTATAAATTTGAAACTCGGTTCATATCAAACCAAATTTTAATTTTTTTTTAATCTTGCAGTACAGAACTCGGTCCATGCTAAACAGAGTTTTATACTTATATATAAAAAAATAAAAATAAAATGCAGGTTTAGGCTATTTTGCACCCCACTTTTCCTGTCTTTGCACGTTCTACAATGATAAACATTAATATGTGATTGCCTCTTTTGCTTTTAGCATATGTTTTTTCTTTCCTTTTTTTTTTTTCTGGCAAAAGAGGACCCAACAATGAAATTATATATATATATATATATTATATATGTATGTATGTAATATAAATAATATTTTATGTATCAAAAAATAATATATTATTTTTTTAATTATAATTATAATAATTATATACTTCAAAAATTATAAAATAACTACATAATCAATAACAACATAAAATTACATAAATTTAAATCATAATAAATAATTTTGGGGTTAGATTGTTAAAGATTATTTTTTTCCTTTACTGTTTTTCTAGCAACGTCCTATACAGTGGGGCAATATCATATGTAAATACTTTATCCGTTAAAAAATATAAGGCATTTTTAA